CAGACTTCATTTTGCTGTGCAGCTAAGAAAATTATAAGTCAAAGTAGAGAGGCGTAAATCACATGAACGGTGATAGAGACGATATAGTTATCAAAGTGACATGACGCCTTTGCAAGCTCTGAAGAGAGATTATAATAGAAACAGAAAACCAACCGTAGTTATGATATCCAACTCTCCTTGAGCTTTCGATAAGAAAGGAGACATCACTTCAACAAATGAGTCATCGTCGCCTTGTTTTTGATATGTTTTGAGACAATTTTCCAGCTAAATCAAACACCTCTTTCAGGAAAAATTGAAAAGATCAGATTAGCGCTACCTTAGTAACATTTTGGCGAAGCGCTGCTACACCTTTTTCCAACTCATCTCCATTCACTCTCGCTGCCGCAACGCAGTGATAAAAATCCTCTTGTGCAAATCTTAAAACAACATAATGCCAAAATTTGTAGATAAGGAAGAAGACCTTGTGTCTCTTATGTTCACGCAAAGAATATGCTCTTATCTTTGAGTTGAAATGTTACTAGAGTAACTTGACCCATGAGTTAAGTCAAGTCATCATTGCCCACTACTTCACTTACTTAGTTTTGAATATGTACATATGGATGACAGCTTGCTACTATATTCGCTTGGAAACTATAAAACTGATTAGATAAAAATTTTGATAATTCTATTGAGTATAAACGTATTTTTATCCGTTACTACGACTGAAAACTTTCTCTTCCAGAAAATACAAGTTAAGATAGATTAATAAATGTTAGGATTGCACAACCGTCTGCAACTATACTCAGTGCTAAACAAAAATCTTTATGAGATTACTTATACTTTAGTGTCATACTATTGGTTGGGAAAAGTCATAAATTTCTCTTAAAAAAAACTTTTTGATGAGTGAATAGCTTCAAGAAGCGGATGATTGAAACACTTTAGATCCACAATGCAAAAAATTGTGAAAAAAGATTGCTGAAAGTGGAACAGGTGCTTTGCACGTTCCACTTCCAGCTATCTTTTTTGCATGCTGTTTACGCTCAAGAATTTGTCGCTCTAAGGTATGCAGAACGCGTCTTGAAAAGTTGGATGGCTTTAAGCTGTTAAGAAATTTACTTTCTCGCCGAAATTTGCAAAAATTTTCATAGATCAACCTGCAGAAAGTCCACGAAGCTGAAAACTTCAATTTTTATCACCAAATATCTAAGGCCTGAGATTATCTTCAGGCCAATTGCACAAGTCATAGCA